CTTCACTGATCTCCATGTCTAATCCCTTGAGCTTACGGGCCATGTCGTTCATCATCATGATGTGCTCACGAATGCCGCTATTCCCGTCATATTTTGTAGTCACCATCTTCAAAATAAGAGTACTAGCATGTGCCTTAGAAGTTGCTTTGAATTGTTCCTCCACGGAAGCCAGATATATTTTAGCATTAGATGAATCTGGAATAGCTCCCCTGATGATTATGCTGATGGAATTTTTAATGAGCATAAGAGCCATTCTGTTGCACCTCTCCCATCTCTCATGTACTATTTTATCTTCAGCAGTACTTTTATCAGTGAGGGCAGGAGGGGCAGGCTCTCTCAATGCATAATCAAAATCCAACATGCCAAGAGTTAGCATCAGTAAATCTTTCCATGAAGAGAAATTCGCACCGTTCAAGGTTTCAATTCCCATATTTTGGGGCTGATAGTGGATTTAGATGAGAGAAATAAGACACATAATTAAAGGAGAACTTAAGGGGTAATTAACTAAGGCTGGCGAAGGTAAGGACCATTATATAGTAATGAAGCTGTGATAAGAGTCTATTATAACACCAAAATAATAGACTAAATTTAATTCTACTTAAACAAATGGCTTTCACTTTGGTTATGACCACTTATTTTAAGTATAATGAATAATAAAATGATCATGTGCAATTTGAATGTTACACATCACCTTTGGGCAGAAGTGAAACATTTAAATTTTAATGCACATATATATTTAGTTCGCAGTACACAATTATAACACATCATCTTTGGACAGAAGTGAAATATTATGTATTTAGGGCGAGTGTCATGCAAATATCTATTTAAGGATATGCACCAAATGACAATGCTTAATAAGACTTGAAATAAATTTTACAAATGTTACACATCACCTTTGGGCAGAAGTGTACTCTAAGGTATTATTCAAGTCAAGCAAAATAAATCAATTTAACTAATCATAAAATAAATTTTATTTAAGATTAGTCAAATGATTTATAAGTTTAATATTAATAATTAATTAACCGCAAAAGTTATAGCGGTTCAGGGCGGGGCTACAAAAATTGGGGACCCATTAAGATTAATTTAATTAGAAAATCAAAAAACATATAAGGCAAGAGATTTTCCAACAAGTAAAAGATAACTTTTTAATGGTATTTTAGCATATCTCTTATTTAGTTTTGCTATTCTTGGTAAAATAAGTTAATAAAATAAGGAAACAGAATATATCATGCAAAAGTGAGATATGCCATACAATTTAAGGAAACACAATTATATTCCAAATCAAATACCAAAGTAAGAAGATTTCATCAAAATAAGGATGAACACTCCAAATAATTCATCACAAATTTTAAGAAAGTAATTTTATGGATTAATTCCGAAAATCTTAGATCTTAATTTTAAGGAAAAGTAATGCCGATTTTCCGAAACTAATGCTGTTTTAATCTCACCGGAAGAAAAAAAACGTGATTAGGGAGAAACAAAAGGTCATATAACGGAAATCTTGAAAATTGATTTTGATTTTCCCAAGTTGAGATTCGGTTTTGCAGTGAAAAAAAACAAAGCCACAAGTGTATTATTGTGGGGACACCATTATTGATCTAAATCGGAAAACAATTCAAACGGAAATTTCACAGTTCTTAATATCCGATTACAGTTCAGGGAAAATAAAAGGAATTGATTTATCAACATAATGCTCTGATACCACATGTTGATCAATTCTTAAACATCAAATATAAATCAGGAAATAAATCATGTGTACCTGATAATCCTGTAAATGTAGTTAGGGATGAGACCATGATTCTCACGCAGATCGAGTTCCCGTTTAGGGTGTATCGTTATGATGGCTAAGGTGAGGATGACTCACGAGAATAGAGAGGCAGAGAGGAGGCGTAAGATTGGTAAGATTGGTGTGTTGATCTCTGCCTAATGACCTCTATATATATACACCCAAGGGGAAACCCTAATTAGGTCATAAGGGTAATTACGTCCATCGAATAATTACCAAATAAATACGTAGGGTATTTATTAGGTCAATGATCAATTAATTAGATAAATGATAACTCAGGCCACATAATAAAATCGTGTCCAACATTAAACTTTTTCTCTTTTATTTTTTCTAATTTTTTGGACCATGCTACACTTACACCAAAAATTGTACACCGCAGTTATACACAAACATTTTGATGGTTTACACCGACACAAGTGTTGGTGCGTTAACACAAATTTACACGGATACAAAGTGCTGGTGCGTTAACAAAAATTAGTTTTACACCAACACAAAATGTTAGTGCAAAACTGCGGTGTACAAGTGAGGTACAAAAACTTGGGGTACGTATAGCTTTATCCTTCCCTAAAATACTTTCACTTTCAATTAAAAACCCACTTTTACCCTTACCTTTTCATACTCTACCTATCACATCATATTTTTTCACTAATAACCAAACTATCACATCTTACTTTTACCTATCACATCATATTTTAAAGGAATAGAACGGAGAGAGTACCATTTAACCGTCTATATATGATAGACGGTGAAAGGAGCGATTCACAACGCATGGCCAACTGATTTTCTAGTCTAACTGTTAAGGAAGAAACTACAACTAGTACTAGTTGTATGCAGTATTGTTGTCGACTTGTGGGTGTGGGTATATATATATAAGACTATGAAGAACTCGCAGGGCGAGATGGCGATATTCATTTTGTCGTCCATGTTTTTGTTATTTCAGCTGCAGTTGTCAGAATCTTATGAACACACTCAAGGTCCCTTCTCTTAATTCTCATCTTTAATGCAATATTTTTACAATTAACATCAAACCGTATATATGAACATCCATATTATATACTCCGTTTCTCGTATTTTTTTTATAAATACTTTCAAAACTCTTACTCTCCCGTTCTAAAAAACTCTTTCCTCTTTCAGTTTTTTTAATTCCAATAAAACACTTCCACTTTTTATTAAAAAATCACTTTTACCTTTACTTTTTCATACCCTACCTATCACATCATACTTTTTCTCTAATACTCAATCCATCACATCTTACTTTTACCCATCACATCAAGGGCAAAATTGGAAGTCAACTATAATTTAACACTTCCTTATTTTTACACAAAGTCAAAATATGAACATTTTTATAGAACGGAGGGAGTATTTGTTATTTTCTCCATTTCAAATTAATTTTTTTCCAGTTGTTATTACGGTCTCTCGATAATATACGTTTGTAAGCATATTTTCATTGATCATTTGACAAAATAAAATATATTCTTGTCCCTTCTTTTTTTGTAGAACTTTTGATGTATTTTTAAACGTTGTGATTTGTAATTTTTTTTCTATACTATTTTATAAATAAAATATTTTTAAAAAATGAGATTTTGTAAATTCTTTCAAATGAGAAGAAGAATAAACTAGAAGGGAGGGAATATTTATTAGTAGTATTTTTTTTTCTTGGATTGGCGAAAATTTTTGTGTATTATATATATGTGGCAGGTGATGCTTTGATAGCACTGAAGAACAGCTTGAGGGATCCAATGGGTGCTCTAGAAAGCTGGCAACCAAGCAATCCCAATGATCCGTTTTCAACCCCGGCTTACTACCCCTGCGGCGAACGGGACGGAATCAGCTGGTTTCATATTACCTGCGATGGGGATAGTGTTATGAGAATGTAAGCTCGCTGTTGTTTGAAAATGGAATTTAACTCCGCGCCCCTTTCTCTATCTCGACCGACGGTCATCATATCTTTATTTTGTGCTACTTAATTAAATTAGTTTTTCTTTACTCACATCAGATGAGAGCATACTCATTTATTCTTACTATTACTTCTTTTTTAAAACAATTGCCAAATTTTGACCTTTTCTTTTGGTCAAATTATGTAATATTTTGACTATAAATTACATAGAAAAAGTTATTTGATTGTAATGCAAATTTAATGATTTAGATTAATTTTATTTTTGAAAATATAATTCTGGTATATCAATTTTTTATAATATTTAATTATTTAAAACTACATTTAATTTTTGGTTAAAATATTGAAGATTTTGACCCAAAAAAATGAATTTGTGATAAATTTTTTTAGTGCGGAGTAAATACGTAATATTATACGTAGTATTATTGGTTTTCAGTGATCTCGGAAATTATAGTCTATCGGGTCAACTGCCTGGTGATCTTCAATACCTTCCAAAGTTACAGTACTTGTAAGTTTTACTTTTGTATGCCAATTTTAATAAATTACGTACCATCCACTTGTATGTTGTTGAGGACTCCCTAATAATTACACCAAATTCTTATGTACTCCTAAGGTCCTAAGGTGTACAGTGTACCTACATTTTATAAATTTTAATACTCTCTCCCTCCTAATTTATTTGCAACACTTCGAACGACGTGCAAAATATCATCATTTTAATTTCAAATTGGTAGAGTAATAAAAAGTAAAAATTACACCATTTAAAAGTATATGAAAAGCTCTACAAAACAAGATGCGACAAGAATATTTTATTTTATCAAATTGTCAACCAAAACGAGTAAACAAACAAAAGTTATCGAGAGGCAAGTTATCGAGAGGTCAGAATAGTAAACGTGACATTCTTCCTGGGACGGAGGGAGTACATAATTATCATAAACCTTCATTTTATAAATTTTAATACATAATTATCATAAAAAATTGACGATTTTTTTACAAAAATGAAAAGAATCACTTGCAAGTTCATAAAAAATGTGAAAAATTCATATTTTGTATGTAAATCTTAAAGTTTAGGAAGCATAAATCATGGATCACATATTCTTTTCCTCTCTAGAATAAAGTGGAACATAATTTACTCCGTAATTTATTATGATCCACATAAAAATGTGGAAACATAATTATGGGACACAATAATGACCAGTGAAATACGCTTTGCCAATTTTTATTCTCACAATAAGCCTGGTATGAGTATTTTGTATGTACTTTCTTGTGGTCAATTTTGATGTCCAATTTACAAAAGAAAAAAACTATATTAATAGTAAAACATGGAAAAACCTTCATATTTTTTACCCCCAAAATAAAAATTATAATGTCAATAATATCAATATATAGTATCAAAAATACAGTAAGATATTACTATGCAGTGCCACAATGTCATAGTGCGAACTCCTATTTTGAATAAAAACATAAACTTTTATTTTGAGGATAAATGCTATGTTTTACTTCTATTTGGAGTAATTCCCTTTTACAAAATATTTCACAATTTTTTTAATTGAGATATCTACAAAACATTTCTGGCTTCTTTTTTTTTTAAATATGAATATGTGATTGTAAGATTTATGTTTCATAAATTTCATAAAGCTAATTGTAAATAATTTAACGAAAAATGCTAAAGTGGTTAAGAGAAAAGTAACATAATGCAAAAACTTTTTATTTGTGAACTGAATTTTTTTATTATTTAAGAAATTTTTACTCTGGGTGTTAATTGCTATATCCACCTCCATTTTGGCTATATCCACTATATTAACGTTAAATTGACAAATTTAACCTCAAATATGCAAAAAAAGGAATTTTGATGCAAGGCTATTTTTAAGGACAAAATTATCCATTTAATATAAAAAGAGTTATTATAGCCAAAATTAGAATGAATATAACATCCTTTTATTCTTTTAGTGGGTTCACAAATAATAATTTGTGTATTTTGTGATTTTTCTCTTTATAACTTTAGCATTTCTATAATTTAATTGTGGGCCAATTCAATTGGCGTATGAGTGCATGGTGATCAAAATTGCTTGCTAAATTAATTATGAGTGGATTCTCAAAATAATTCAAAGTATTTTTTCAATATAATTAAATTCTTAATAAGCAATAATTACATGTATTTTGGTATTTTCTATCATTGATATGAAGAGTTATTGGTGTGTCGTTATGCACTGAAAACCTCGATGAAAAAGAGATGAAAATGGTGGATGCAAAAAGGTAAGGAAATAAGTAAAGTGGTGAAAGTACGAATGTCGAGTCCTCAGGAATAGCGTAATTGGTTGGGAATCAAGTGCAAAGTGTAACTTAACATTAATATCAAATTGTTAAACGTGAATCAAGGCCTAAAGACAGTGAAAGTGATATGCAAATGAAACAAACTAAAAAAACGCAATTAACAACGCTAAAAATGAAATGTAAAGAGTAAAATGAAAGCAAGCCTAGATTAGAGATTTCATGTTAATCAATGAAATTGCCAACAGAATAGAAGAAAATGAGAAATCGACAAGGAAGTGAGCAAATCACCCCGATTTCACTTCTGTGAGAATCGAGAAAGATTCTCCTAGAGAAGAACCCACTTCCGTGCATGGCACACTTCTCAAGAGAATAACAACAAGACAAACAAGCTCCTCAAATATCCTCCACTTCCGTAGTAAGACTTTAGATGGAACTCACGGCTATGGTTCTAAATCCCGATTCCTTGGTGATTTAGAATCCATTCCGGAATACATCAAGAATGCCATTGTGGCTAACAATAACTAAGCAATAAATACAACAACCTCCACAAACACCCTAGATCAAAATCTCACAATCCATACTAATTTAATGACAATAAATACAAATCAACAATTCATCTCTAACCTAGCTAGAAAATCTAGTCTAGCATGTTTAAACTAAAGAGATGCATAAAAATAATAGAGAAACAAATAAACAAAGCATGATGGAGATGTGGTAAATAAAAGCTAACACTAAGGAACAAGAAAATAAACATTCAAGTGTTAAATCAAAAGTTAGAATTGTTCAAAATAAAATCAAAGGTTGAAGATGAAGAACCCTAATATAAGAATGAAAGAGAAGTAAATCTGGGAGTTCCCTTGACAAATTGGAGCTAGGAAAGTATACATAGAGGGAAGGGGGAATAAGATGACAAATAAGGGTATGGAATCTGAAAATTAAAAAGAAATAAACCAGGGGTAATTAGGGAATTTCAGAACCCAATTGGATATTTGGATCTGTGCAGCTCCTTCTGCTGTCCCCTTCTTCGCGCATCATCGTTGGCTTTAGCAAGTGTCATCGTCGCCGGAAATAAGGAGCAACATCAGCGTCGTCTCCTCGCCGATTGAAGCTGTGCCCGTCAGAGTTCATCCGCGGTTTGGTGCAGTGTCGCCGCTGGACTGTGGGTAGGGCTAGGGCTTTGCATTAACAGGTCGAGACTGGAATTTAGACCCGAACCGGACCGGAATGGATCGGTTCGGAATTTTCAGGTCCGGTCTTCGGTCCTCCAAAATTTAGAATTTCGGGTTGCGGTCTGGTCCGGTCTAAACCCGAAATTATCCAGTCCGGACCGATATATAATAAAATATTAATTTTTTTAAAATAAATAGTTAATTTATTAGACCATTATCCTTTCAAATTTCTTCTTTTTCAGTTCTCTTAGGCTCCTTGCATGATACGTTAATTTCGATTTTTATTTTAAGTACTTTTTCTTTAATTTTTTACTTTGAAGTTTGAACTTTGGTTTGAAATTTTTTTCATGGAATTTGTAGTGTTATGAACTTATGAATTTAACAATTGCCCTTCCTAGTAAATTGTTATTGTTATGAATTTGGGGATTGATGGTATTATATATATTTACATATATAATTTAGATATGAATTTTTTAAAATGAAAATTAGGTCATTAATGTTTAAAATCCAGTCCATAATAGGGTAAACCCGGACCGGACCGGAAACTTCAGGTCCAGTCTTCGGTCCTTACTAATAGAGGATTCCGGTTCCGGTCTATTCCGGTTCCAGTCCGGTCCGGTTTTGGACCGGTGCACACCCCTAGCTGTGGGTGTGGATCATCGCCGGTTCAGACAGAAGCCACGCCGTATGATTGTTGTCTCCGGCGCAGGGAAGACGTTGCTGGTCCTCGTTACCGATGCAGCTCACCGGTGTCGTCTGCTTCACTCCTTCTAGGCCGGGTTACGGAAGAAGGAACGCCAATGTGACGTCAATTTGAGAGCTGAAAACAAAATCAATTGAAATATATTTCAGAAATTATAAATTGACCCCTAACTTTTGAACTTGCTTGCAATTCAATCTTTTTTCTTGTGTTTGGACCCTAAAATCAAATAATTACCACAAATCAATCCAAGTTAATAAATTATTCAAAAGATAACGAAAATTAAAGTATGTTCTCGAAATGCTTCCTTATACTTAAATATTTCTCCAAATTGATAATTTCTAAGTATATTTATTCCCGAAATGGAGCCCATGAGCCGTCTCAGGGTGGGTTCGTTCCTCTAGCAATCACGCTCTTAATTTAAAAAAACTATTTTGAGGACTTATTCATAGTTTTGATCATAGAAAATATAAAAATACTCTCTATTTAACTGTCATTTAATAGACATTTTTGACAGAGGAATATTTAGGGAATACATTTCAATTACAAAGGACCACATTGATAATTATTGCTTATTAAGGACTAATTTGGGAAAACACCTTATTAGAAAGGATCGTTTTGAGAATTTACTCATTAGTTATTAAAAGTCAAAAGTTTATTTTTTTTCTTTTAATTTGTAGAATTCTCTGAATTAACTCATCTCATTCTATATTTTCTAGATCCCTATATGAAAATAACATAAGAGGTGAAATTCCTCCCGAGCTTGGCGAGTTAACAAACCTGATTTCGTTGCAACTGAGCGATAACAACTTGAGTGGTTCCATCCCTTCTACTTTGAGCAAATGCACTAAACTCAGATTTGTGTAAGTGCCGACTACTTTAATTTCTTTTTTTTTTGCATTTGGCAAGAGAAACACAGAGTAAGATTATTGTACATAAACAAAGTTACTTAAATATGATTAAAACATTAAAGGTATACCAAAATAGAATTTCATATATTTTTAACCTGTAAATATATAGAGCGTTGACGCTGTAAAACAACACAATTTGGCGTTGTATAGTATATTAGCATTTCAAAATGTCTTTTAGCATCATATATTGTTTGAAAATCTACTTAATTAGTTTTCAATTAGTTAGATATTTTTCCTAATCATGTTTCTTTGAGTTAGTTTGTTAGAGTTTGCTTCTCGTATTTATATTCTTTGTAAAGTTCCTTGTTTTGGCAAGTTGTAAGAATCACTTTATATTCTCATCAATAGATGTACATTGGATTTTTCCAATTATCTAAGGATTTGATCTTTATTTTTTCTGAGGAAATCAACATGGTATCAGAGCATGATTGGTTCTCACTGTTCTCCTCAATTCATCTTCGTCCTTTGATTCTTCTCTTTAGGATAAAATCTTCTTCATCTTGATTATTTTGTTATCATTCTACATCAAGGATGATAAGACTTCTGTCCAAATCAATTCATCAGATCCTATTTACCTCCATCCCTCATATCTTCTTGGTCTGATCCTGATTTCGAACAAGTTCGAGGGAGATGGCCTCGGATCTTGGCAGAAATCAATGCAAATTGCATTATCAGCCAAAAATAAGTTGGAGTTCATTAATGGAAGAATTGCAAAGCACGATGATCAATCCTTCAAGAGCAAATGTGTGGAAACGGTGTAACGATATGATTGCTTCTTGGATTCTGAACACTTTGAGCAATGAAATTGGAGAGAGTATGTTGTATGATGTGAATGTAATCAAACTCAGGAAGGAACTCAATGATCAAATTGGTCAGTCCAATGGCGCAAGGTTATATCAAGTCTAGAAGGAACTTTGTTTTATTGCACAAGGAAACTCAGATATCTCTGCTTATTACACCTAGATGAAGAAAGTTTGGGATGAATTGGGACTAGTGTCAAATCTGTCACGGTCTACTTGTAGAGTTGCTCAAGAAATGATGAAATATGAACAAAATCAGAAGCTAATTAGTTTTTTAAGGGACTAAATTTTGAATACAACAAAACAAGGCGAAATATTTCCTTTATCAAACCTCTACTAGGGATTTCATTAGCCTATAATATGCTCATTCAGGAACAAAAGCAAACAAAAATTCAGGCTTCATCACCTTTTGTTCCAGAACATGCATCTCTAAATTTAAATATTCCAAGCTTTACCAGAGGAAACCAACCATGAGGACAAGAGAATTCCTATTTGTAAACACTGTAAGAAGAAGGGACACTGCAAATAAGTCATATAGATTAATGGTGTTCCCTAAGAATTTTTAAATTCACCAGAGGAAGGAAATTGGCAGCAAATTCCACCAATGGAGATGGGAGCAATGAGTGCATTGTTGACAATGACAGTTTAGAAACTCAAGTCAATCCAGAGCTGCACAACCAGTTTGTGAGGTTCTACAATTCCATTCATCAGGGAAACACTCTCCCAATAATCATCAAATCAAAGTCTCACAAAAGGAACTATCATGTTGCCTTGCAACATAGTCCTTGATGATGTTTTGTTTGTCCCTGATTTCAAATATTACCTTTTATCTGTAGGAAGATTGTGTAATCAATAGGATTCTACAATCTGTTTCACTCCAAATAAATGCATTTTGTAGGGCCTTTACAAGAAGAGGCTAGTAGAATTTTGTGAAAGATTTCATGGTCTCTATATCTTTCATGCAATTTCTCAATTACAAACAGCTCATGTTATCAATTCTATAAATGTGTCTTCTGATCATATAGTTACCAATAATTCCTGTTGTAATACAGCTTGTGCTATTTCAAATATAAAAAATTTTCATATGAGACTTGGTCACATACTTGTTTACAAGCTAAAACATAGATACTCTTTTGATAGTACTCTTTTTGAGTATTTATCTTGTTGTGATGTTTGTCCTAGAGCTAGGTAACAAAAACTCTCTTTTCCTAATAGTCAAAGACATTCGACACATAATTTTTAACTCATTCACCTTGATCGATAGGGAATTTATCATACAAGAACATATAATGGTTTTCAATATTTTCTCACCATTGTAGATGACTTCTTTAGGGCAACCTGGACATACCTTTTATCAGCCAAGAGTAATGCTCTATATAGCATTCAAACCTTTTGTGACTGTGGTTAAAATCCAATTTGACGAACAAATTGAAGTCACTAGATCAGATAATGCTTTGGAGCTTGGAAAAAGCTACTCTATGTCTTAGATTTTCTCTCAAAAGGATTCATCCATCAAAACAGTGTCACAAATACTCCTCAACAAAATGGGGTTGTGTAAAGAAAACACAAAAACCTTTGGGAAACATCAAGGGCTTTATCCATTCAATCCAATTTACCTCTAAAATTCTAGAGAGTGTGTTTTTTGACTTCCACCTACCTTATGAATAGATTTCCCACCAAGCTTCTAAAACCAAAATCACCCTATGAAGTCCTTTTTGGTAAAGCTCCACAATATATATGAACACTTAAAGGTTTTTGGGTGTCTATGCTACTCTTCTACACAGGCACACGGTAGACACAAATTTCAAGAGAGAGCTTTACCTTGTGTTTTCTTAGGCTACCCATATGGAAAAAATGCTCAAAAAGTCTATAATCTTCATACTCACAAAGTAGAAGATTTTAGAGATGTACAGTTTTAAGAAACTATTTTGCCTTTTCGAACTCAACCACGTTCATCCTCTACGTTCCTCTCAGATACTGATATGACATAACCTTTATCGGATTTATCTCCAATGTTGTCCTCTCTTTCTTCACCCACATCTAATGTTTTACCTAAAACTCATCTTCCTTCTTTCCTTGTTCCTAATGTTTTATCTCATTCTATATCACAGCCACCTTCTTCTCAACTTGCTAGGAGACCCAATAGATCTCATCATCCACCCACACATCTTGAGGATTATGTTTTTCAATCTACCTCATAATCATTTTTTTCATCCTTACTTTGTGTCTTCATCTACTTTGTTTTGCCCTCATACTCTTACTTCTACCTCTTCTTTATCACACATATGTTTAGGGGCACTAACACAAGATAGTAAAAAGTTTTTGCACAATGTTTTCCATATGCACGAACTAAGGAACTATGAGGAAGCTAGTGTTGATCTTGTTTAGAAAAAAGCCATGGATCAAGATTTCCACATTTAAGTAATACTAGAACCTGGGAAGTGTATTCTTTACCCAAAGGAAAGAATCTTATCCCTTGTAAATGGGTCTACAAACTCAAATTTAAATCTGATGGGACTCTAGAAAGACACAAGACTTGGCTGGTCATTTGAGGATGCACTCAATAGGCATGGATTGGCTACCTGAAACTTTTCCCCCTCTAGTCAAGATGACTATTGTCAGAGATCTCTTAGGTGTTGTAGTAAAGAACCATTGGCCATTTATCAATTAGATGTCAACAATGCCTTCCACCATGTAGATCTTGATTAAGAAATCTACATGAAACCCCCATCTTTCCCATCCTAATATGGTCTTTTAGTTAAAGAAGTTTACATATAGACTCAAACAAGCTTCTAGACATTGTTATGCTAAAATATGTGTTATTTTGAGATCTAAAGGATGCATGACTTTAAAGAATGATTATTCTCTATTCACAAAGAGAATAGGTTCTTTAGTTGTACAACTTGTAGTCTATGTAGATGAGATCATTGTCAAGGAACCAACTCAACCAAAAGCTCAAGCTTGTGGTTGTGGCCCAGGAACAGTTATTTATATTCTAACACGCCCCCTCACGTGCAGGCGTAGTCTTTTTTGAGCCTTGCACGTGAAACCTTAATTTTTTTAAACTGGGTGGCGCTGAGTTTCGAACCCGTGACCTCTTAGTCAACGAGGCTCTGATAACATGTCAAGGAACCAACTCAACCAAAAGCTCAAGCTTGTGGTTGTGGCTCAGGAACAGTTATTTATATTCTAACACGCCCCCTCACGTGCAGACGTAGTCTTTTTTCGAGCCTTGCACGTGAAACCTTAGTTTTTCGAGACAAGAGAGAAGTCTGACGTGCGCCGGTGGCTGCTGACGTCGTTGGAAAATAGAGAAGTCTGACGTGCGCCGGTGGCTGCTGACGTCGTTGGAGAAGAGAGAAGTCTGACGTGCGCCGGTGGCTGCTGACGTCATTGGAGACGAGAGAAGTCTGACATGCACTGGTAGCTGCAGACATCGTTGAAGAAGAGAGAAATTGACGCGCGCTGGTAGCTGCTGACGTCGAAGAAGAACAGAGAAGGCTACTGGAGGTGCCTGACTGAAGATCCTTGACATTTTTTGTCTTTTTCTTGGATCCGGGCAATGCCCTATTTCTTTCTTGAAGGAGTGAGTTGTAGAGGTCTTATTTCCTCTTTCACTACTTCCCCTCTTGGCTTTGCTTTTGTACTGATTTACTTTGGATTTTTATTGGTTCAACAGAAGAGAAAGAGAAGGGAGGTTGATGATTAGAATGAGTGATTTTAGAGAGAAAAAAGTAGGTTAAAAATTGGTGATGGAAAAAAAATTTGGGTATGAGATTTTGATATGGTGAATTTGAGAGAAACAACAATCATTTTTTTTCTTTTTTTTGAGAAGATAGGATGATCTGAGAGAGTTTGTGAGGAATTGGATTTTTTTTTAACCATGGAGATGACAAGAAAAAAGTTCCTCCTTTGATAGTTTTTTTTTCTTTTTTTTTCCATTTGAATGGAGAAGTTGATTTGAGGATAAAGAAGGAAAAGAAAATAGAGGTGAATTGGGTGGAGCCGCCGTCGCCGGAATTACCGGCGGCGGCGGTGGGAGCAAAGAACCTTTTTTTTAGGTCACCAAGAGCGGTGGCTCTGATACCATGTTGAAATATCGGAATAATAATATTGCTCCTTGAATTATGAAGTACATGATAGAGTATATATAGAAGAGACTCCTAACACAACTAGGAATAGAGAATGGAAATTAACTAAAATACAACTTCTACCATAACTAGGAATACTTAATATTATTGTCTAACAATCATTGTCACAGAAACCATTTTCTGAAATCAAAGCCCTCAAATCTCATTTGCATGATGTTTTTAAAAAAAGGTCTCGGGACTTTGAGTTTTTTGGGTTTGGAAGCAGTCTATGAAAATGAAAGTTTGATCCTTACAAAAAAATCACTAGGGATCTTATTAAGACTTTTGGTTGCCCTCCCACTTCACATGCTTTATGTCTGCTCAAAGCTAATCTCCAACTCAAAGCAGACTCGGATTTAGCTTTTGTCTGATCCTAGCCTTTATCGTTATCTTGTGGGTAAACTCAAATTTATTATCCATACATGACCACATATTGCTTATGCTGCCCAATTTCTAGGTCAATTCATGCAAGATCCTAGAAGTCCACATTGAGAAGCGCAGCTTAGCATACTCTCAAATATCTCAACTCTGCCCCCTCTCAAGGTCTCTACTTCAATGATTCTACAAATTTCAAACTTACAGCCTATTGAGACTCTGATTGAGTAGCTTGCCCAAACACAAAGAAGTCTAGCAGTGGTTTCTTCATCCTTCTAGGAGAAAGCCCCATCTCTTGGAAAGATAAGAAACAAACCACAGTCTCCCTCAGTTCAACAGAAGCTGAATATCGATCCATAAGAAGGGTTACTACTTAATTGTCATGGTTATCTCACCTCTTGACTGATTTTGATGTCCCTAATATTGTTCCTATATATATTTATAAAATATGATAGCAAGGCCGCATTTTAGATTGCTACTATTCCCATTTATCACAAACACACAAAGTACATTGAACTTGATTGCCACTTTGTGCGGGAGAAGCTTCAAGAAGTGTTGATTACTCTCATTCATGTCTTCATTGTTTATCAAATGGTTGACATCTTCACTAAGAGTTTGCGTAGTACTCTTCATCGTAAATATCTTGTTAAGTTACCCTCTAACTTGGGGGGGTGTTAGAATATCTACTTAGTTTTCAAGTAGTTAGATATTTTCCTTATCCTGTTTCTTTCGGTCTGTTTGTTACGTTAGAGTTTGTTTCTCCTCTTTATTTTTATAGTACCCTATTTTGGAATGTTGTAAGAAACACTTTTCATTCTCATTATTACATAGTAGATTTTTCTAGTAATGTTAGGGTTTGTTCTTCATTTTTCTAAGGAAACCAACATATATTGATACAAAACATTACAAATCCTAGTTTTGTATGCGGAGCATGTTTTAGCCTAATTATGTGGTTCTCCATTGAACTTATTATTATATTTATAAGAGCTTCATCATTAATATATAATCTCTTTACTTTCTATTTTTAATAATTGTTTTTCTTATTGGAAATTTTGGTGGACTTTTGTAGGATGCTCCAAAATAATCGTTTGAATGGTACTATTGCCCCGTCACTAGCCATGTTTAATGCAGTTCAGGTGGTGTAAGTAAAATGAATTACATGTTTTAATTTATTTATTTCATTCAAAATGTGCATGAAGCAGGTATTTATCATTGCACGTAGATTGCCTTAGTATAACTAATTTTTTGTATGTATAATTCGTTTGACATATCAAATATGGTTATAAGGGAGGGGTAGGCACGATATTGTGCCGCATTTAGGAATACTTAATAATCAGTTAAAAGACGGAATAATTTATACGAATCAGATATATAGAATGTTTTTAGATTAATATTTTTCCTGCAATATTACCAAAATACTTCGATTTGATAAGACGTTATAAGCAAAGTAGCTAGAACTTTAATGTGATATTCTATTTTTGAAACATAACATTGGGTGCTCTTATTTATAGAGCAAAATTGACCAGTCATATCCATTATAGAAAGGACAAACATCACAGATTCACCGTTCAAGACACATTCCAATATATGTCAAACATCCAAATGTGACATTGCTTAGTTGGGAACCAACACATCTCTTGAGGATAAACATTTGAATGTTGGGTAAAAATATTCGAATATTTAATCATTCCAAAAGCTCCGAAATCACACATTTCAATGTGGGCAATAGACATACGAATGTGAGTTTTTACATTAGAATGGTCACATTAGTTTTCCTAAAGGCTACTGTGAGTGACACCCTCCCTAGTATCTAAATTCTAAAATATAGTATTCGAATCGGTGGAGGAGGCAAGCTCAAGTCCTTGCGGGGGCACTATGCTAAACTTCGGGGGTCGGGAGTACTGCCCCCGTATCTTTTTAAATATAATATGAAATTACAAAAAAACTAATGAATCTCATCTCAAACAAAAAAACAAATGACTAAAATGAAAGAGTTTCAAGAAATAAATATCCTTTATAAAAATTATTAAATAATGCATAATCATAATATAATTCAACACAGTACAAATATGCAACTATCAATTTTATCATCATTCAACACTTGGAAATAACAAGAAATTATAGAATTATTGAATAAAAGTTCAGAGTAAACAGGAGAGTGGATCGGAGCCGCTGAGGGCGGTCAATTATTGGACTGGCCAAACTGGTGGAGGGCAGGGGTCCGGAGGGGGTCACTCTCAAAGTATCAAGCAGCGGGGCTAAGCCGTTAAGGATTGAGACTCGGCCTAAGGAATTTCGACTAGACACAGTGGAAGGGTGGAGGATGACAGGCGGAAGCAACATAGAATTAAAGATGATAAGAATATTTTTAGTAATCGTCGTTAGGATGAGACTTAATCTGAAATAATTGCAAAACCACATCGTTTTGCATAATAACTAAAAACTCCTCGTAGTGCATCCCTAAATTCCAGAGACAACGGTTAGAGCACTGGAAATACCCATGAAGCCCCGAGGCTTCAAACCTTCTCTCTCTGCTACCATACGTCTCTTTTAACTTACCTCTCAATTTCAATGGAAATGGGTTTGAAGCCCCAGGGCTTCAAACTGAGGATTCAAACCTTCATTTTTTATATTTTAAATACACATCTTTTAAAATTAAATTAATAAAATTTAAATATTTAATTATTAAAAAGAATTGAAACGAGAATAGTTCATTAAAAAAAATACATTCATTATAAAAATTACATTCATTAAATAAAAAAATTACATTCATTTAATAATAAAATTACATTCATTAAATAAAAAAATTACACCTTCATTAAAAAAACAACATTCATTAAATAAAAAAATTACATTCATGAAAAAAATAAAAAAAATACTTGAATAATATTTTTATTAAAAAAAATGATAGATACAGAGAAATTTATAGAGAAGAAAAGAGAAAAAAAGAGGGAGAAAAAAGAAGAAAGAAGGCATTATAACGCCGCTCGACGTCAAAAGGCGGTTTTTAACGCCCCCAAGCGTCAAAAGTCTCATAACGCCGCTCGACGTTAAAAGTATTACTAGTGGCCTTAGAGATTTGGAAAAAAAAGAGATACATTGCCACACGCGGGGCCGCGGGGGCACACAATCATATTCTTCAGGCAATTCAGTTATTTTCTTCACCTCCTACTTCATTTTTGTAATTTCTCAAGAAAAATATCTAGCAATACAAAATCTCTAACCAATGTAAAGAGTAAATAATGCAATTCTATGCTTTCTAAAAAATATTTTTCACAAATTCTTTGTAGAACTTTTGTGTAATTTTTAAATATGTAAGTTTATTAAATATTTAGTTTCTATGTAAATTTCAAATAAACATAGGTATTTCTTTCTTCGGTTTAGTTCTTTTGAGACCAAGATTGGGTGTCAATAGGAATGGTAACCGATTGGGTTCAGTTTGGGTTTTCGTATACTCAAACCCAACCCGCTTGTGTTCGGGATTGATTTAGGCAGGTCGGGTTTAGATATTTTTTTCATTTCAGATTCGGTTTTAGTTTAGGTCGGGTCGGTTACGGTCAAATTTCAATTGGAAATTTATCCTTACTCAATATTGAAAACTCTCAATATTTTTATTCTATTTCAAATTAAATGTATTTCAAAATCAAAATATCAAAAAAATGAGTTTATTTCAATGCATTTTCTTCCACCGTACTCCTTAGCACCAATAGGAAGATCAATCAACCACTTAGCTATCACTTATTAAAACATTATTATGCATGAATTTTTAATTGCACTCACGCTCTTGTTATTTGATTTTTTATAGAATACGAAACTTTAGTGAGATAAGTTTTAATAGAAATAGAATATTGCACTAATGATAGATTTTATAAGTTCTTTCTCATTGTTTCATACTCCTTTTTTAATACAGAAGAATTGTTATTCACACATTGGAATCAGGTTGGGTTGTAAATTTCAAGATCTGAACCAGACCCAACTTAAATCGGGTCGGGTTCTGCATGATAATATTTTTTCAGTTTGGGTTTGGTTGTTTTTTGATTCGGTCAGGTTGATTAAGGTTGGGTTCGAGATGGATTGTTATCAAAAGGGGTCACGTATAGATTAGTGTCAAACATAGTTTTGTGCCCCCAAAAAAATCTTTTAAGGCACTTTTAAATTATGATGAGAATATATAAATTTTTTATCAAATAAACAAATTTCAAATAAGAAAAATATATACCAAAGGGATAATATCAAAAGTAGAAAAATATAATACTAAATGAGTTACACTATAATATTACAAATACTTTACCATCATATTGTATTTAAATAATTTTAATTTTCTTTTGGAATTGTTATTTTTTACCACGAGCTTAAAATTTTTACTAGGTCGAAGCAGACTTTTAGTTTACTAGAACTTTATTAAATTTTGCATTAAATCGTTAAGAAAAATGAACGGGGCGGGCCTAGTAGTTAGAAGGTGGATCCACTAGTGTCATGTATGACACTGGCTATTAGAGACCCTACAATGCTTCGTTGTACCGCAAAATTGTTTGTATCCTTCAACCACCCAATTCATTGATTTGCTACAATAATCATTGTGTTAAGTCAACAAATTTGGAAAAAGGTTGGGACTTGTGGGTGGGGGAGGAATGGTTTGGGGGTAGAATAACTTCAGGATCCAATGGAACACCCAACCTTGGTGTTAAAAGCATAGTAGTGCTTTTTTAAGGACGATAGAGAATTATTTTTACTACATGCGTCCTAAAATATTTATAAAGTTTTGTTTGTTCAAAGTCAACCAAGATCAACCTTTGAGCTATAAAAAACATGGTATATTATTGAGATAAAATAATATTTAAAAAAATTATATAAGAGAAATCTAATAGAACTATTTTTTGTATTAAAATATCAACGTTATTCAATTTATTATCAAAATTTATCAATTTCAACCACAAAATGTCAAAATTGGATAAATGCTCAGTAATCTTCTTACTCCGTATTTGACAATAAGCCAAGTGCACTAATTTATTACTCCACTAAACAAACAGCTAAGTACTCTAGTATTAACGCATATTCATCTCCATGACACAGAGATTTGTCGGGCAACTGTCTAAATCTGATGGATAATCCCATTTCCGATCCTAGGTACTCTCTTTTCCAGTTTGTGTCACTCTTTTACTTTTCTCTCTTAGTGCATTAATTTCACTACATGTGTTTTTATTTATAAAAGAAATTACATTGTATTCAAATTGAATCTATATTTTCTACATATAGATATTACCCATGCAACTTTGATCAGTTTCCTGATTTTGCTTACCCAGTACAATGATTTTTTTCCCCTTTTAGTGTTGTCGCGAATAACAACCCTCCACGTTGTGCTTCTCCACCGTGAACAACATTTGTACGTGCATCGGAATAATGTATGTGATCGTGCGAGCATCATCATCTTCCATTCTAAGTCATGTTTCCTTATAATTCTATGTTTGTGTTTTGTTTTGGGTGCTTGAGTGCGAGCACCCGACTGATCAATTTGGATTTGGTTTAACTATTATGTTCCGTGTGTGAGAACTTGTAGCAATGTATTATGTATATGCTCGTGTTATCACTATATTTTGTCAATGTGTATTGTGTGAACATTTCCTCGTATGATCTTTGATCACGTTCTTTTTGTTTATAAGTTTGTTCTTAATGATTTTGGTGTTAATAATCTTTGGTTCAATGCCTATTTTATTAAAAGTTATGACGAAAAAACAAATACCAAGTTTTTTGACGTGCTTATAGCCAGTGCAGCGAGGCATTGTGGACGAATATGTATTACGGAGTATGGTGCATAGTTTTAAAAATCGGACCAGGGATCGAACCGGTCGAGTTACTGGTTCAGTGGTCAACCCAGTAGTTCAATTGGTCGAAACAGTTGTTTAATTAAACATATTTTAAATGTGTGTGTGTGTGTCTATATATATATATATATATATATATATATATATATATATATATGTATGTATGTATGTATGTATATATATATATATGTATATATATATATATGTATATATATATATAGCCCACTATAGAAAGCTCAAAGTAAACCCAATCTAAAGCCCAGCCCCATAAGCCCAAATCTACTTCCCAGGGGGTCACCCATCATTTTGGCTACTCTCATGCCAGCACGCTTAACTCTTTAAAATTCCTCCAAATATGCATCTTCTAGGGATCGAACCCGGGTGGTGTGGTTCGCCAATCAACCTTGTGAGTCTGTGACCATCTCTACCGGGGGGAACCACTATATATATATATATATATATATATATATATATATATATATATATATATATATATATATATATATATATATATATATATATATATATATATATATATAAACACACACACACACATACATATATTTAAAATATGTTTAATTAAACCACTGTTTCGACCACTTGAACTACTGGTATAACTTGAATCAAACATCATAAATTTTTATGTACAAATTAATGAAGTATTGTTTTAAGTGTGTGTGTGTCTATATATATATATATATATATATATATATATATATATATATATATATATGTAT